ATTGGAGAGGAAAAAGAGAAAGAAAATAAATCCCAGGCACCGTGTCCCCACAGAACACCCAGGCTGACTGGGGAAGAGTGGGAGGGGTGTCTGTGGAGCTGTGCCAAGTGTTTCTGGGGAGGAAGGGGCTCCCAGCAGGCAGTATCCAGGGAAGCATTGTGGAGGGGTGGCCTTTTGCCAGGTCTTGGAAGCTTCTAGATGTCATAGAGATGGAGTAGGAGGGTGCTCATCCCAGGCCTAGAGGTGGGAAGCAAACCACAGACTGAATGAGGGAGGCACAGCCCCTGCCTGACCACAGGGAAGGAGGACCTGAGGGGACAGAGGGGGAGCTGGCAGTGGTGACTCAGAGGCCTGGGCTCCAGCCTTGCCTTCCCTACCCCCATCCCACCCTTTAGCTTTGAGACCTTTTGAGGTGAGTTCTTCCTCACCTCTGAGTCCCGATCCCTCACCCATCACACACGGGGTGGTGGGGCTATTGTGAGAGTCAGAGCCAATGGGGGTGCCGGGCACACCGTCTCCATTATTGGCAGTGACTAAACACAAGACCAGTTGGTATAAAGTCTGTAATACAAGTAGGAGGGGACCACCAGAGTTGGAGACTAATGCAGATGGAGGAAAGGCCTCCTGGAAGGGCAGTGCTGGGGGGCACCTGAGCTGGGTCTTTAAAGGCTGAGACCTGTTGTTAGACCGGAATTTTTGGAAGGACATTTGAGGCCTCTCACGTCTCCCACTGCCTCCCAGGGCCTGGTCCTGCCCACCTGAGCCTCCTCTCCCTCCTGCACAACTCTGACTTCCATTTGTAATTGCCTATAGGTGCAATTAATTAGGTTCTGTCGTTCTAATGACTCACAGGGGTGGCATATTTTTTCTCTAAATGCAGATATTCTTTTGAGGGTTTGTGTCTTTATCTTTTGCAGAAAATCACTAAATTAAAAGAATTGCCATTTTCAATTGCAGATTAAAGAGAAACTTAATTAGAAGGAATGAAAGCAGTTGTGTTTGGAGCTTTTGTTCTTAACATTTTTTTTTCTTTTGCTGCTGAATCACTGTACTTGCAGTTGGTGTATTTTATTTTAGGTGAAATGATTTGCCTAATTAAGCCTGTCATTCATCACCACCTGTTCCCTCTAAATATATGGCTATATTATTAAGCTTGCAGGCGAATGTATAAATGAATTCAGTGGGGAATTACAGTGTTGACTGGGATATTATTAGGTTTTATCCAGTTTATCTGGTATGAAAACCGATATTTTCTTCCAATAAAGTGAAACAACAGCTCATTAAGCTTCTTCATTTATTCATTGGGCACCGGTTATGTTGCAGGCATGTGCGAGGCATAGGGCACAAGGGTAAGTGTGGTACAGCCCCTGCCCCTGAGGGTCTCATGGGGCACCAGACCACGAAACTGGCCATTAGGATGCCATTAGGAGCAAGGTGAGTCTGGAGAGAGGGTGAGGTCAGGGAAGGCTTCCTGGAAGAGGTGGCCCCTGAACGGCAAGTGGAGTCAGTTAGGTGGAGAGGCTGGCAGAAGCTTGTGGGGTTGTGGCCATTCAGGCAGAAGAATGGCCTTGAAGTGCTCATGGTACAGACTAGGCTGGACAGACAACCAGGTCAGTGGCTGTGCTGCAGAGCTGGGGTTCCTTCTGCGATCAGTGCTCCATGCTCCATGCCTGTCCTCACCTTCCGTGCCAGGGGGTATGTGGTAGGATTTTATATTGACAGAAATCTCCAAATTCCAATTTTAGTCCCGAGGTGAACATGTCTTAAAGTTCCTCTGGTCTCTCCTCCTCTTTAGCCTGTGGCAAAACTATACCTAGAGCCTCATCTTCCCCCCCCCTTCCCAACCTCTTCCCACATCATGCCACTTCCCTGCCTACTTCAGCACTCTTAGCCCCCCGGGCCAGAGGTCTGCTGAGCAGCCCCCTCTCCATTCCTAACAGTCTCAAAGTTAGCAGAGGGAGGGACCGTGGAAGAGTGCACACTGGTCCATGATCCCTGGCCCCCCTCTCCCTCTGTGCCCCAGATCTCCTGTCAGTGGAGCATCACAGAGTCTTGGCTGGCTCAGCCCATGAGTAGTCAAGTCCTTTTGGAGTCATCTCTTAACATCCCTCCCATCACTGAGGTATTCACCTCCATTACTTTCCCTAATTGGTCTCCCTGCCTCCCTGTTTGCCCCCCACATCCCCTCTCCATCAACAGAGTGAATCTGAGGATGGCATTCCCTGACTGACCTGTCCATAAGATCAAGACCCAGCTCTTTAGAAAAGGGCTGTGTGACCAGGTGCTCACCCCTGCCCAAGGTCACCCATCCAGAGCTTTGCAAGGCAGGTGATTCACCTCTTCCCAAGAGGTGACCCCCCCACCCCCCCACCCCTAAGAACATACACCATTTGACTGGTTGCCATGAGGGCTGGTGTGGTTCGGCAGGAGCCCTGGTGGGAGAGCCAGGTTGCTGGGAAGCCAGGCAGGGGCCCATGGTGACATGTGCCAGGGCCGCAGCTCTGGGCTTCACCCCCTCACTACCATGGTGAAAGCCCAGGTTATCAGCCAGATGGAAGAGGGCTCTCTCAGACACCCAGCCCCAGGATGTGTACCTTAGAAGGGCCTTGTCATTGCTGTCTGTCCCTGTGGTTGGGACAGAACCGTAGCCTGAGAGGAGGGCAGAGCCCCCAGCAAGCCTTCACTCTCTCCCCTCCCCACACTTCCAGTCCTGGTCTCCCAGCCTGTCAGTGTCTCTAGGTTAGAGTTTGGCCTCTGTCCTCCTTCCTCACGAATTTTAATTATGATTTTCTGAGTCCTCCCCTCCTGGAGAATGCCAGCCCTGTCCCTCTGGTGCTCAGGCCAAAAGCCTGTAGCCCATCGATCCTCTTTCCCGCACACTCCACTGGGAATGCACAGACAAGCCCTGTCGGCCAGTCCAGCAGTGGCATCCTCACTGCTCTCCTTGTGCACCTCTCTCTCTCTTTCATTTATAAACTTTTTAAAGAGCAGTTTTAGGTTCACAGCTGAATTGAGCAGAAAGTGCAGGGAGTTCTGATAAACCCCCGTCCTCCACCCTTTTTGGCAGAGCCATCCTGTTCAAAAGTGCCAGGTGAGACCCTCCCCATCAAAACATCAGAATGACTCTCCCTTTCTCTCAGAATAAAACCAAAGTCCTTCACAAGACACAATGCCTGATGATCTGGCATGGTTTCCTCCCACCAACCCTCCATTCCCGCTGGACTGTATTGTGTCTGTCGCCCGAGGCATGTTCACACCTCTGGGCCCTTGAACTTGCTCTTCCCTCTGCCTGGAATGTCCTTCCTCTGGGTTTTCTTCATGGCAGTTAGAGCAGCTGGTAGGTATGCTGTAGCTCAGACCTATCCCCCTTACTGTGTCTATCCCTGCCCGGACTCTAAACTCCTCCGGCAGGATTTCTGTCTGATTTGCTCACTGCTCTTTCTCCAGCCCTGACCTTGCCTGGCACATGGGAGTGAGTGTTGAGGAGCGGAGCAGGTTGATGGACGGGCTGCCAGCCTCCCCTGCAGTCATGAGAGTGAGCATGCACACGTGGGTCCGGCATGTCTAGAGCCTTCCATTAGCAGGAATCTCCCTTCCCATTGTTTCCCATCATGGTTAATGCAGAGTGTGTTTTGGAGGGATGGAAATGCTTTGCAGTCCTGACGGATGATCTTGCTCAGCGGCAGAGACCTAGAACAAGTTCACCCACATTCCACTCTCCCCACAGTCAGAGCTGGGTTTTCCCACCACCTCTCCTGAATGTGAGGTTGACGTCTCGCCACTTCTGTGCTTGCTCTTTGGAGATCGTGTGTCCCTGGGCCTGCAGCTGGACCTGGCTTTGGGAGCTTGTTCCGCAGGCCCTGGCCCGTCTCACTCTGTGTGCTAGGCCCTTAGGAAGTTATTCTGTCATCTGATCTTCACAGTACTGTGGTGAGATGGGAAATGGGGCCTCAGAGAAGTTGAGTAACTTGGCCAAGTCACACAGCTAGCCACTGACAGTCTTGGGAGAGGAACTCGGTTCAATTTGGAAGCTTGTGTGAAGTACCTGGCACGGTGTCCACACTGAACAGACATGATAATAATAAAAGTAAATATTTATTATAACGTTAATTGAATAGAACTACATGCCAGGCACTGTGCTAAACTCTCGGTGATGTCACCTGCCTGAATCCTCGCAACAACCCCATGAGGTAGCGACAGTTATCATCCCTTACAGAGAAGGAGACCAAAGTCCAGAGAGATAACTTGCAAGGTGGACTAACTGGTCTTCAGGAATGCTTCTGGCAACTCCGGGTTCAACTCCGTGTTTTCTTCCCTTTGTGGGATATCTCCAGGGTCCTGCCCTTGAGAAACAACCTCCCCAAGTCTGTGGGGGTGAACGATGCTCCCACAGGCCCAGAGCCGGGAGGAAACGTATGGCGGGGCCTGCCCCCGTGCTGTGAACTGCTTCAGCCTCACCTGGGTGCTGGGTCTGGGACAGGGCTCTCTGCATGTGGGGCGCCCATGCAGAGGGCACTGAATGAAGAGGAGCAGACATGGGGGGTGCAGCATGACCCTTGACTGGAACTCTGTGGGCTTATCCCAGAAGAAAGGGAGCAGATGTGGCTCGTGTGCCCTGCAGGGGATGGGAGTATGGGAGGAGAGGAGCCACTTGGAGGCAGAAATGGGAAACACCTGCCCGCCCCCCTCAGAACTGTCCAGGGAACTGAGCCCTCATGGGAGTGCCGTGCCCCCCTTGCTGCAGATTGCAGGGGGTGTCCTTCGGGGATAAGGCTGAGCTCAGTGGCCTCTGGAGCCCCTTGAATGCACCATCTGGTTCTGACAGCACCTGTTGTGGGAAACTTAAGTCTCTTGAGCCATGTTCGTTCATTGCCTGGAGTTCTTCCCCCTGTGAATCGTAAAGCCCCAGTAAAAGCAGTCGACTATTACCCCACTGTGCACCACCCAGTAACCTCTTGGGTAACACTCTGGTGACCACGCACTTTCTTTCTCCCCCACAGCTCAGTTTAACGGCAATGAGAAACGGCAATCATCCCCCTCACCTTCCCGGGACCGGCGGCGCCAGCTTCGAGCTCCTGGAGGGGGCTTCAAGCCCATCAAGCATGGGAGCCCTGAGTTTTGTGGGATCTTGGGAGAAAGAGTGGATCCTGCTGTCCCCCTGGAAAAGCAAATGTAAGTTCTAAGGGAGCAAGGCACAGCCTCAGCTGCAGTTCATACAGTCACTGCTAAGGCTGAGAGAAGATCAAAGCCACCATCAAGTCAGTGGCTGATGAGATTAGGATACATGTCTCCTGATTCTTAGCCCCATGCTTTTTCTCTTCATACTGTATCACCACCTTTACTTTGGACTATTATAAATTGGATTCATTTTCTAGCTACATTGATAGTTTTGCCTTACATCTGCTTGGCATTTGTTGGGCAAGGATTTAAGGCTCTAGATTTGGGTTTTCTCAGCCTGTTTCCCCTGAGATTTCCCACCTCGTGACCCAGTCCCATCCCTGCTGCCGCCTTCCCTCCCTATTCTTCCCTAACACTGTCACCCCTCCCCTTGACCATGGTGGTCACCTCCCTTCTCACTGTGTGCATGCCCCTGCTCTGCTCTGAAACCTTCAGTGGCTCCCCATCACCTCCAGGATAGTCTCATCTCCCTAGCCTGCCGCTCAGTCTGTGAATTGCCCCCAGACTGCTTTTTCGGTGTCTCGTCATTCCATATACCTGGACTAAAGTGAGCTTCTCCAGGTACTTGATAAATCGGGTCCTGCATCTTGTGCTGATACCTTTAGCCGTATCATCCTCTTAACAAGCAAATGTGCGATAAATGGGGTTATCATCCCCGTCACGTAGCTGGGAAATCAAGACTCCAAGAGGTGCACAGCCTTGGGATGTCACAGCCCACAGTGCAGAGGCAGGATTGGAACTCCAGCCCTGTGCCTTGACCTCACTCTCCCCTCACTCACCTCTCCTCGTACACACTCTTATCCCTCACCCTTTGCACAAGACTGGCACAGAGGAAGCACCATAAGGACAGGAGATGTGCTGACAGCTCGCCGATCCCTCATCAGACTGTCCCACATGTGTGTCACGTACTATATTAATCTCCAGCGGGGGATTCTGGCCTCAGCACAGCCGGCAGTGCATCCCTCACAGGAAATGCTCACTTGGCGAACAGATGCAGGGTTTTCCAAATGACATCATGTGCCATGGGCCCCTTTTTCAGCTATCATCTGATAGATATGCTATCATCTGGCGGGGGGTTGCGCAGCCTCCTCTGTGACCCCCCATGTCTGCTGTACCGAGCACATAGGGGAGCACTCCCAGTGGGCGTCTTTGCTAACTGTCTGTCACAGCCACCCAGATTGGGTGGTAGGTTTTGCTTATTTCTGATCACTGTGTACTTTTTAATTAACAAACAAAACATGATCCAGAGATAGCTGGGTGCTGTTCAGCCTGCATCCTAACCATTTCCACCCAGTATCCCTCTCTAGCTCCTGCCCCTGTTGGAACATAAGCTCTGTGAGGGCAGGAACTGATCTGGGTCACCACTGCATCCTCAGTGCTTTGGAACGATGCCTGGCACATAATAGGTGCTCAAAAAACAGTTGTCCAGGAAATGGATGAAGTCCTCAAAGAGCTGTCAGTGCTGTCTCTTTCCCTTCCATCACCTCCCATTCTCTCTCACTCAGCACAGTAGACGACTCCCTCCTTTGAAGATACACTCTGCTCCTGGTTTTTCTCCTGCCTCCCTGGCCACCTCTTCTGTCTCCCCAACTGGCTCCTCACCTCACTCAGCTTGACCTGAGGGTGGGACGGTCTGGGGCTGGGTTTCCAGCTACGTGTTCTCCCTGGGTAGTCTCAGCATCCCACACACCACCTGGAACTCCCAGCTCCTACATCCAGCTGCCATCTTGGCATCTCTGCTTGGCTGATGAATGGGCTATCTCAAATTTAGTATGTTTAAAACTGGGCTCCTGATCTTCTCCGGACACTTGCTCCTCCCCCAGCTTCCCCACCTCCATAAATGGCATCACATCTACCTACTTATTCAAGCCACCAATCTGGAGTCTTCTTGGATTCCTTTTTTTTTTTTTTGCCTTACACTAGCATCTAATACATTACTAAGTTCTGCTAGTTCTCCACGCAGAATAACAGGCTGAATCCATCTGTTCCTCTTTGTCTCAGAGCCACCTCCCGTGTGGACCACCGCAGAAGCCCCCTACCTCATCTGCCACTCTACTGCCCCTCTGGCCCCTCTTCAGGGTAACCTGGTTGGTCTTTAGTAAGACCATCCAGAGCAAGTATCATCCTCTTTTTAACACTCATTGCCCTCTGCTGTGCTTAGATGAAATCAGACTTCTTCCATTGCTCACAAGGGAAATTGGGCTCTGCCTCCCTTTCCACTCTCATCCTGTACCACTCCCCATGCTCACAGTGCTGGGCAGGGCCATTCTTGCTGTCTTTCTGTTTTATGAACACCCCGAGCACATTCCTACTTTAGGACCTTTGCTGGTTCCTCTGCAGAGAACATGTTTTCTTTGGCTCCTTACATGATTGGCTCCTTCTCACGATACAGATTCTCAGGTCAGATTTCATCTCCTTGGGAGCCTCCCCATTCTGTTCATTCTAACTTAGGCCCTTCCTGTGCCCCAGTCAATGCCTATCACAAACTCAGGATTCCTACATAGCAGTTGTCACTTTCTGATATTGTGTCCTTAATCTATTTGTTGACTCTCTGTCTTCCCTGCATCAGCCCCATGAGATCAAGGATGTAGTCAGTGGTGAGTAAATATTGGATGAGCTAATGGGTAATGCATAGGCTGAATGGCAGTGGTTGAGTCTTCTTAATCCCCAGGATTCGGGCATGACAGGCCAGCCCCACAAAGTCCAACACATCCCCAGACAGCCTCCTGCCTAGATCCTGTTTGCAGTCCAAGCAGAGCCTGCTTGGGCCCAGCAGTTGGCCCTCAGCCCCCCATGGGGCCACCCAGGCCCACCCTGTTTCCTGGTGGCCAACTTCATGCTGACAGGCTGGCCAGTGGCTGGCCCTGGCCCCCTGAGTGTGTCCTTTGGCCCGTCTCTCCCAAACTGCCTGGGTCTCCTTTGAATCTCGACCTGAGTCCCTGCCTTTCTCTCAGGGTGCAGTAGCTGGGGCAGCAGGGAAGGAGCCAGCAGCTCATCCTGTTTACCCACCAGGGATTACCTTTAACCAAGATCCCGAGCCCCCGGAGGCCCATCTGCTACCAGCTCAGCCCCTGTGCTCAGGGAGGGGCGGAGGGTGGGCGGCACTTCCCTAGAGACTTCTTCTAGGCCTTTCCCTGAGGATGGCTCTGCTTCAGATGGCTGGAACTTGTTTTCCTACTAAAACATGTTTGTCAGCTCACTGGGGGTGTGTTAACACAGGTGAAATTTCCCAGAAAACGACCTTGCCAAATCTGTTAACTCTTAGTTCTAAAGTCCATTCCATCCTTGTCTGGCTGTTTCCCCAAACTACAGTCATGGATCCCTTCCAAAGTGTGGCTTCGGCCCTCATATCTCTGGAAGTGTTTTAATTACAGGAGCCTATATTCCTCTTCATTTCTCTGTACATCTAGAAAAGAAGGCAGTCTACACTTCCCCTGCCCCTTCCCCTGCAGAGATCCAGCCCCAGAGCTGACCTGCTATGGGTGGTCACCTCCTGGGCGGTCAGTGACTCACATGCTCACTGGGCAGGGACACTTGTATCTGCTCTTCCCGCCCTTGCTTTCCTGAAGCAATTGGGTTTTGAGGTTATAATTATGTCATCACCACCACTGCAGCTAACTATTCAGAACGCTGCTTTGTAAATGGCAGAAAGTGTGCGCTGAAAGGCAGTGCCGTGCTTTTCCCTAAGCAGAATGCCTGTAGCAGAATGCTCAGAGGCACTGTTGGCAGGGCACCCCTGGGCCGGGACCAGGAGGCAGCAGCATCCCTGCTTACACCTGGGAATTTGAAATGCGGCCTACGGTGGGCAGCAGCCTGAATAATGATAGTTGGGGGAGTTACCCATGGCCATCTGCAAGTTCAGTCTCTTTCTATGGATGCTGGGAGCTGCCATTTGTTGAAACTCACCCCACCCCAGGCTCTGCATATGCCCTTCTGTGCGTCATCTCATTTAATCCTCACATCCCAAGGCGGGAGTGGAGTGACCCTAACCCAATAGAGAGCCGAAGTGCAGCCAGGTTCCGCTGCTTGTCCCTGACTGCCCAGCTGGCAAGTGGCAGAGCGGTCTGTGCCTCTGTGGCCATCCAGCACCTGTGGTTCTCTTCCTGGCCTAACTCGCCGCCCTCCCACCACCCCTGCCCCTTAGAGACTGTGATGTAAGCAGAAATGCATTCTGGGTAGACCCACTGACTACCCCCATCTTGTGATCTTCACTCTTCCTCTGAAATTTCACCTTCAACTCTCCCAATCTTGAAAATCAGTTGTTCGTCTTTTGTCCTACAGCGGGGGGGCCTTAGTCATGTCGTCTGCCATTATACCCCTACCTTCTGATTCTGCTGCTCACCACCTAGTGTCCAGAAGCAGTGATGTCGGGCTTCCCACATGCCCGACCGATGCCAGATTTGCTTGACAGGAGCACTGGTGTGGCTTTCCCACCCAACCGTCTGCTGTCCTGAGTGACAAGCACCACCCACTTGTCCCGCAGATGCCAGGCACATGTCCCTCCTGTTAGCACCCTCTGATGGCCTCCGTGTCACTCAGATGGAGAAAGCCAGGGTCCTCTCATTGCACACCGGCCCCCTGAATGGCCCTGCCTGGTGGCCTCGTGGGTTGCACTGCCCACCCCTCCCCCTTGGCTCCCTGCAGCCATGCTGGCCTCCTTGCTGTTTACCAAGCACATCGGGCACTCCTGCCTCGGGCCTTTGCCACCCCTCCCTCTGCCAGAAGCACTCTTTGCCAGTTACCTTCCTTTGTGGCTTCCTCCCTCAACTCCTTCAGGTCCACATTGAAAATGTCACTCTTTCCGGAAGGTTTCCCTGGCTCCTGCTTAAAATAGCAATCCCTACCACACGCTCCAAACCACACTACCCTGCTTCATTTCCTGCATAGCACCAAATTGTAGTGCAAGCCCTGTGAGGGAGGAGGCTGCAGACTTGTTCACTGCTCTCTCCCCAGGATCAGGCATGCGGCACACGCTCGGCAGTTCCATACTGAATGACTGAATGCATGCACACACACACACACACACACCTGCCTTATAACGAGGAGGCTGGGACATGCCAGCTGCCCCCAGACGGGGCTGAGCCTCCCCAAGGAGGAGTTTGCAAGGGTGTCAGCTCTGAGGGTCCTGTCCTCTTTGGGTTCTGACCCTCTCTCTCCTCTCCAGCTGGTATCACGGAGCCATCAGCAGAGGAGATGCCGAGAACCTTCTGCGGCTCTGCAAAGAGTGTAGCTACCTTGTCCGGAACAGCCAGACCAGCAAGCATGACTATTCCCTCTCCCTGAAGTGAGTACAGCCTCGCTCACCCCTCTCAGCCCTCCTCGGCAGCCTCGAGTGAAGCGCTGCCTGGCCCTTGTGTCTGTGGCAGAAAGACCCGCCAGTGTTCCCCAGGAAATGTGCCAGTGTGAGATATTTCAAGCCTTGGTTTTTCAATTTGATCCTATTCTCCTGGAAGGCAGAGGAGTTCTTAATTTCCTCCGCCCCAGAAGAGGAGGGGCATTTTCCTAGGATTCAATATTAAATACCCAAAGAAAGCTTTCATATCTGCTGTGAACCAGGAACCTAATGAAGCTCCGAGTATACCTCATCCCTCCCTCAAAGCTCACAGGAGTCCTTTGATGAGAAACATATGGTCCCCATCTTGCAGATGAGGAAACTGAGGCTCAGAGAGGGACTTGGAAGGCCCAAAGGGCAGAGCCAGGACTCCAGACCAGCTGTTTGACTCTCCACAGCACCGCACTGCCACTGTGAGAACAGCCCTTTCCCTATGTTCCAGGTTGCTGTTTGGGTGGGTCTGATTTTTATGTGTGTCACAAAGGTTGTGAGGAGTGCTGGGAAGAGCCAGGGAGAATCCTGCTGGTGTTCTCCTCTGTGGCTGCTTTGTAAACTGTTGGGCCTTTCTGACCCATGAAGCATCACTGTTGAGATAGGCAGCCTCAAAAACGAGAAAAGGGTTTTTTGCTTGAGTGCTTCATCATTCAGTGCTATTGCTAAAGGGGACCCAACAGATTATCTAAACCCCATTTTACAGATAGGAAAACCGAGGCCTAGAGAGAGGAGGGATTTCCCAAGGAAATATAGAGAGCTAGTGGCAGAATTGGAGTTTAAGAAACCCAGGCCCTTTAGCCAGCACAGACCCCCGGGAATATTGAAGCCTTCTGCCTGGCTTCCTCTCTGCACTGCTCTCCGTTCTTAGAGCCTGTGACAGAGAGAGGGCCTGCTGTGATGTGACTATCAGCTGTGTAGACATTGGCAACAGTGCAGCCAAAGAATGAGAGATTGGCCTGCACTCTGTGCTCAGGACTGAGCCCACCCTGTCTGCTGGGCTCTGCCCTGAGAAGGACCATGACAAGTTGCAGAGCATGGTCAGCGAGCAGAGGCAATGGATATCTGCCTGGGGAAGAAAGGACGTGTGGGCACATGGTGAGAACCACAAATCTCTCAAGGATTATCAGGACAGAAGGAGCAGATGTGGTCAGGGGTCCCCAGATGGGACTTATGGGCAGGCAGATTCCAGCTCAGTGAGAGGAAAAGTTTTCTAACAGTCAGAACTGATCAACAATTAGATCCATCCAAAACTGCCTCGATAGGTAGTGAGTGTCTCATCACTGGGGGTGTGCAAGTGGGCCTGGATGGCCCTTGTCAGGGAGACCATGGAGAGGATTTCTAACAGCAAAGAAGGCACTCAGGACATACAGCACCTTCATACTTCACTGTCCACCATCAGACCTGTTGGCATAAAGGATCTGTTTGGTTATCTCAGCCGAGAAGATCTCAGTACTAAACTGCAGCAGGGCTGGGAGGCTGGACTGGCAATGAGCACAGTCGGAGATCCCTCAATGGATTGAGGAGCGGGCGGCAGGGGAGCAGGTGCACATCACCAGCCATGCTGACAGGGACCAGGGGGTCCTCATCTGCCCACTGCTGCATGCAGCCCCACTCCCTCCCTCACTGTCCAAGGTAACTGAGCTCTTAAGTGATTCTTCCAGGTCTCCAACCCCACCCCCACCCCGCCTCAAGGTGAACTGTGTTGTTCTGGGTTTCGAGAGGTGAAGGAGGCAGGTGACAGCAGAGATGGGATTCCCACGTTACTGCCCTTCCACGATGACTGAGGCAGCCCACCCACCCCCTGGGCTTCCTCAGTGCAGCACTCAGTACACTGCCAATCTGCGTTCCTCTGTGAATCTCTTCTCTCCTGGAATCTAGGACCTGGCCAGAAGACTGTTCCCAAAACCACTGATTGAGTGCAGCAAGGAAGGGGTGGTGGAGCACCCCATACCAGTCCCGGCTGACCTTCCTTTCCATGACCCTCCATGAGCTGGGCAAGGGCTGAGCCTCTGCACTAGGTGGACCGGGCCCCATGGGGACCCCGGCACAGCTCTGCCTGCATGGGAACAGTAGCCTCCCCAGTACCCAGCAGTGTCACAGTTGAGGCATCAACATGGAGCCATATGAGGAATCTCAAGCCAGTTGCAGAAGTAATCATACCAACAATACCTTCAGGATCCATTTCTCAGTCTCCTGTGAAATGTGCCCTGTTATGCAAACAGGCCTAAAATCTACCTCCTGCATGGGTCTCTAGAAGAATATTTCTATCACAGCCCCAAGAGTGCAATTCCTTTTCACCCTGGGTGTGCCCCGTTCCCTAAACAGTAGTACCACTCCAGAGGGATGGACAGCACATTGGTTCTGTTTTCACAGTACAGGCTTATAGTCCTGTGTGCAGGGCTGCATGCAGTGGAGAAAGCAGGGGATAGGCTTCCCCACTCCACGGCCTTATGGCCTGGGCAGCCGTGTCACTTTTTTGAGCTTTCTCTGTGCACAGGGGATGGCAATGCTCTTCGTACAGAGGGAAAACATCTCTAACCCAACCAGTGCAGTGTAAACATTATCTTGTATTATTCCCACCCTGCCCCTGCTTTCCCAGGTTGGCCTCATGGTTTCATTGAAAGCTGTTTTTAAGGGCAGCAGAGAGAACCTATTGTCCAGAGTTCTGGACAGGAGTCCTGACCTACCACTCACTGCTCACTGTGTGACCTTGGGCAAATTCCTTCCTTCTGGGGCTCAGCATCCACATCTTTACATTGGGACTTTGATGGTTGCTAAGGACACCTCTGACATCAAAGGGTCTCTGACTCCCTGGATTTCCCGTGTCCATGGGCTCAGCCTTCCTTTGTCTTTGGAGCACTCTGGTCAGATCCCCTGCACCTCTCAAGCCAGGGAGGAAGTGGAAGAGACTGAGAGCTGGGCCCAACAGCCTGTGGCAGAACCCCCGATAAGAACACTCTGCCATCAGGCCTGAGTTTGGGTGACTAGTCTCTGCCCACGGGTGCTGGAAGTTTAGTTTTGCATGCTTGTCTAGAGCCATAAGATCCCAAAGGCCAGATGAGCAGTCTCACACGGCCAGATTTCCCTTGAAGAAGCCCAAAATTGAGGAGGCAAGCTGGGCCATCCTGTGGCTGGGCAGGGCAGCCTGCTAAGGGGAGGTGAGCTTGCTTTCCAGCGTGGCCCTAGTTCACGATAACCAGCTCGGGAGCCAGCCAGGGGGTGATACCTGGCATTAATCACCTTAACCACAAAGGGAACGACGCTGGTACTGAATGTCACGGCTGCTTGGGACAAGTGCCAGCTTTTCCAGCCACCACATGACGTGTGAAGTCTCTCAGATCCCCAAGGCCTGCCTGGTAGGGGCAGGGTATGATCAGCCTTCCCCGTGCATGGTGTTGTCAGGAGCATGGTGTAAATTGACATTGGGATTCCAGCTGTGTTTTTATGTGTGGATCCTTTGTGAGGATGTTCTAGGGTGGAGGAAGGATTTGGGGGAATCCAGCCTCAGATGACAGCCCTCCACCTCTTCCATCCTTCTCTCAGCAGATATTTACCGGAACCCACTGTACCAGGCACTGGGCAGGGCAGCATAGAGAGCTGAAATGAGAACAGCTCAGCTTAGGCCACAGGAGCTCACAGCCTGGCCCATCCGTCCTGGGCCTTGCTACAGCCAGGTTTGCATGAAAGTCCTTGGGGACCTGGAGTTGGCACAGGAGTGGGCAGTCCCTGACATGGAGGGTTAGGAGAAGCTGCAGGTGCACTTGAGCCTTAAAGAGAGGGTAAGTGGTCCCCAAGCAGGGACAGCTGGGGGGGATCTCAGGTGGCAGGGACAGCCCAGGCAAAGCCCTAGAGATGCAGAAGAGCTGTTGGCAGGCCTTGTGCCTGCCTCACAAAGGAGTTGAGACTTAATATTTAGTGATGGAGCCACTAAAGTGTAGGGCCACTCTCAAGGATCTGCCTTTATGCTTTAACCCCACTTCTTGACCCTGTCTCCCTGCGTATCTGCACGACCTTACATCTTAGAAGGCCTGAGCTTTTGCCCTAGGACAGCCCCACCAGGTGGCGAGGGCAGAGAGCACCATCTTTTTCATTTTAGGGTAAAGGCAGCTGAATGAACTTCCAAAACTGGAATGGAGGCCACGGACTCCCAGCCCAGTCTCTTCCCACCCCTCTCAAGCACTTCTTATACCAGGTCAGAGGTCACCTGGAATGACCTTAGAGGCCTATCTGGTCCTGTCTTTCCTTCATGGGTGGGGAGACCCAGACCCAGAGGGGAATCGTGATTGACCTCAAGGCTACCTAGGTGGCAGCTGATGACACTGACAATGGAGATGGCGACTGCTCTCCACTGTGGGGACTGGCCCAAGCTGCCACCCATCTGCCCCTCGCACTCATGGTGATCCAAAATGACGCCTGCGCTCCTCACCTCACTGCCGGTAGATCCCCTCCCTGGCAGATACCCCCCACCTGTGGAGCAGCCTTACCGAGACCTTGCCCAGCTGCTTTGGAACACTGCCCTTATCCCCTTCTCCCAGTGGAACTCTCCCTCTTCCCAGTCTCCAACCTGACTTGGGGGCAGCGGGCCCTTAGGCTTCTTCTCAGCTACTAGCAGACACATTGGCCTTTCAGAACACTCACTCCGCCCTCAGGGAAGCAAGGGGTTGAACCTTTAGATATTGGCAAGAAAACACCACACTCTAACAACTTCCTGTCTGGAAAGGCAAGCAGTGGGGGAAAGGGATGAAAAGTTGAAAAATCTCATTAAAAAGGTTCTTCAGGCACTTTGGACTATGAATGACTTTTTGCAAGTTCCAGTTTCATGAGTTTTTGCAAAGGAATCTGGACAAGATGAGGGAAATAGGACTTCAAAGACTGGAGGGCTTGCAGCTGGTGGGGGCAGGGAGGCAGGGTGAGTACTGGGGCTCCCCTCCGCATGTGCTGGGCAGGCTCTGCCTGCA